AAGTACTTTTACTTTTTACTTGAGTGAATATTTTATAATGTAACAGTACTTTTACCCAAGTAAATATTTTCAGTACTTTACCCATCACTGGACTCAAATACAACTTTGTTTTCAAGCAATTTCTATAATTTTGTCCTGTTTATTCATCAATGCACACAAAGGAACTTTCATGTCTCACCTTGCCCTAAACTAAATGTCTAAAGTAAATACAAGGTTTGGTATCCTTACACTACATGTACTTAATACTTTTAATCTCATGTATCAAATATTTCATCAGTTTTAACTGGATTACAAAAATAATATAACCTTACTTAATTAATATGCACAGCAATATATATATGTATGAATGATGTCAAAGAAATAACACTATATTTTAATGCATATGTAAAAATACTGATGGTATTAGTAGCCTTCAAATTTCAATAAAATAAAATATACATGTTACCTATGCAAATATTCACAATTCCTAGATGACAAATGAAACTTCATATTTTAATATATATAAAAATAATTCTTTTAGTTTTACTTCCTTGGTAGATCTTCATGATCATCATATTATTAGTTTGTATTGTAACCACAATGCTTACTTTTGATTATTCATTCAAGTAACACATTCAGTAAAAACTTTTCTATTCATTATGAAAAAATACTTCTACTTCAAGTTCTACTTCTAGTACATACTTTAAAAATTACATTACTAGTGTGACTACTTTGGTTAATTCTAACTTTCTGTACTCCATGTTACTTTATTTTGGCTTATCATTTTTAAAAGTTAAATGTTCATACATTCTTCATGACTGATGACTCATTCTTGATTTCATGCTCTATTTAAATAACTTAGTTTGCAATATTATCCATGTGGTTGTGTTATTAAATTATAAAAATAAACACATCACACATATGTATCATACTATAAACTATAGTATATTATGTACTTTATATAGTTATAAGTTATACAACCTATGCATATTTCATTAATTGTAACCAATTTTAGGAAATAGACACACATATTCTAATTTCTTAAGATAATTTCATACTCAACATCTATTATGTACGGATGAAATTTAATTTAAAAAATCTCATAGTCACAGTGACTTAATTTATGAATAAACGAGCTAAATTTCAAATCTGGACTATGACTCATAGTATGAGTATGAATATGATGAACATTTTCCTCAAAGCAGTCTAACTCTAAAAATCTAAGTTCAAACTGTAACAGATGAAGTTAAAATTTACTTTTTATTTTACCCACGAGTTTGCATATATCTAGTGCTTGGTATCTGAATTATGTCATTATTTTAAATCCTACTAAAACGATGGTAAAATAATAACATGATGAGTAATCCAACATGAAGATTTTATAATACATTGTATACTTTATTTCCGTTTTCTTAAACAACTGTCCAATTCCAGAAGGCATAACTTTCAGCTTCCTGTTGTTACTCGCTGTTTAAGCATAAAAGTATAGATGGCGTTCAACAGTCATACAACAAGAGCATTTTTGTTTGTAGTTAAGCGAAAAACTAAAATAACAGCCTATCTTTGCTGTACCCATCACAGGTATCGAAACCCAATTTTTAGCGTTATTATAAGCCTTCATACTTACCGCTGAACCACTAGGGGATAAATCGCATCTTTACAACTAACTGGGAATTAAATATCTATAGTTTAGTCTCGTTACTAGGTCTTGGGATCACTATTCTCATTAAGATATTTGTGAGGACGTCTAACATTTTGCTTTAAAAAATTATTTCAAAAGATTAATGAAATATCATATTGCATATGTTGAAATTACTTGTGCCACGTCAAGTAAGTATCCACATTGACATTATTAAGCAAATGTTGGAACAATTCTCTTTAATGTCACATTTTGGGAATATTTTCATCCCTGACAAAAATGCCGCATGAAGGAACGGCAATTAATTCCTTAACCCAGTGTTTCCCAACCTTTTCCATCCCATACCCTTCTAGACATCAGGTAAATTAGTCATTACCCCAACTTCAAAAGTCCGAAGTGTGAAAAAACACACACCTAACTTCAGAGTATTCAGTAAGCCTATGGATTAATTTCAGCTGTAGTGGATTTTTTCAAAGTTGAAACTTTCAAAAGTGGGAAAAAACAATAGTTCACAGTCAAAACTTGATTTTTATTCCATTTAACTGTGTCAACACAAGGCTTTCTTTAAAAATACTAAATAAATCGCAAAAAAGGCTGCACATAAGTAAAATTATAATGATATTTTAACTACCATGCACCTCAGTTCAAATAAGAACAATCAGAGAGATTGCACACTTTCACCCTGCCGCTCCTTTTTGAGACTGAATGCGTTTATATTGGATAATGTCAAATTTCACCTTCGAAAATTAAGAAATCCTACTCAGATTCAGAATGATCAACGATTCGGATAATTTTCTGTAATGTGGTGAGGAGTCTCAATCTTAATGTGCCCATGGGGTTTGGTACAAATCCGATCACACTTTACAGAGCTATTAAACCCAAACCGCGAAAATGACCTATCTCTCAACTATAAAAAGTGCTTCAATGTAATCCAGATTTGGATTCCGACCAAATTTAGGGACATCTGTCCCATACTGACTTCCCATCTTGTGTAAAACTTTCGTGCACATTGATCTATTAGTTTTTGAGATACGTGCGTGGAAACACAGACACAACGACCCAATTGCAATACATTCGCCCCTCCCCCTCCTCCGGAAATGAGTGTAATTATCCAATATTTGTTCAGTGCTTTTTGGCAAAAATTCTCGGTATTGTAATAGACACAGCACATATGAGTTCTCCATTCACTTCCAGTTTGCTTTGCACTTTAACTGGTCTTCTTGGCGACAAGGGCTGAAAAACTGGCTTCATGTCACTATGTGATTTAAAAAGAAATCAAACTTTCATTGCCCTTTATGCCAGAACTGGATATTCTCGGCGAATTTGTATCCAAAACATGACTGGTTCTGTGTTACCGAATTCAGCTTTCAGAATGGCGTCCTCTTTCAAAAACAAAATGCCGTTTTTGCCCCAGTGTCATCGACTCACCATCAAGCAGAACATTGTTTCCTACAGAGAAAGACTTCAAAATCCAAGAATTTTTTATTATCTCTTCTATTATGGAAAATAGCTGTAAATTGTTTCCTGAACGGAACTTAAATGCTATTTGATTTACTCATGGAAGAGACAATTAATTTTGCAAGTTTCCAACAGCAAGACCAATTCAGGAAACATACTGATATCATCATCAATCACTCTGCACTCATATCACTGTAGTTTCCAAAGAAAGCCAGCCACTGTATCTTGGACTGTGAGTGTTTCTGTCAACTTGCCCTGAAGCAATAAATTGAGAGAGTTAACCTCACAGAAAAAATCAGCAAGATAAGCCAATTTTAAGATAAACTGGTTATCCAGCAACTTTCTGAGAAATTTCTCCTTCAAAAAACGCGATTTAAGACTTTACCACGGGACAAACAGCATACTACAGTGTGATAAAGAGCTGAAAAGTCAGCTCCAGCTTCTTCACACAGAACCTTGAAGATTCTCTAATTCAGAGCATTCCCGAAAATGTGATTTACTATCTTCATAAAATTGTGGAAGACCTCCAGAAGGCAGAATGGATTTGTTTTCACACCTAGAGCATACCAATGGATAACACAGTGTGTGAACATGACATGTGATGCAACTTGCTTGACATGAGTTTCAAACCCCTAGCGAGCACCAAGCAATGAAGGTATTCAATTATTACACACTCCAACTAAATTTGCCCATTGCAAACCATGCTTTGGAAGAAACTATGAATTGTGTTGAAGACATCCTCTCCATGAGTGGTAGTTGCCAGAGGTTCCAGGAAAAGAAATTCCTCTTTAAAGCAGCCTTTCATCACATAGTGAGTGAAGAAAAGTTGCAAACATAATGCCACATCGGGTAAATCATCAATTTGTATTGCAAAAGACCTGCTTTCTTTCATCTCTGTTATCACTTGTTCCAGGATATCTTCACTCATTTCATCAATTTGGCATTTTATTGTATTATCAAAAAGTGAGACCTGTTCTAATTGCTTAGCTTGAGATTCACCATAAACTAGCTATACAGAATCCAGCATGCATGGCTTGATGAGCTATTCCTCAATTGTGTGTGTGGCTATTTGCATTGAGTAATGTGAAGAGCAATCCGGTATGACACTTCCAATGCACTGGAGTTCATTTGTGCAAAATGGCCTGTTGAATCTACTCTTCTTGCCTTTAGAGACTTCACTTTACACTTGAAAAAGTCAATGTCTTTGAATTCTTCATGAAGATGCTCAAAATGCTTTTTCAGCTTACTAGGTTTCATACTTTCCAAACTGAGCATCTTAGAACAAAGAACACATTGGGGTTTTTCCGTGGTTTTATCAATGAGGTTTGTGAAGACAAAAATTCTTCACACTATGCTTGTTTCTTCACTGGAAGGAAAAATAGAGTGATATAGAAAATTATAGTTTGTTAGGGTTTTATAAAGACCATGATTCTTTACAGTAGTTGTCTGTGACTTGGTGATAAATTCGAACAATCCACTTGTTTTAAAATAATATATTCAAAACAAGTCAAACATATGTACAAAAAATTCTTTACACTACAGGATATCACAGTTGTATCTAAAAATCTAAATAATTCTCTCCTCTCGTCAAAAGTCCACACAGACTGGCTCAATTACTTTAGACAAATTATTTTTCTCTACTCTGTGTCTTACTATACAATCTGCATTAAATTCACTTACGTTACCCCAAGGGTTACCACAATTGTATTAGGAACTTCAAATAATTATCTCCATTTTGTCAAAGTCCATACAGGTGGGTTCAATTATTTTAAAACACCCTTTGACAAGACAAATTACTTTCCTTATCTGTGTTAAACTGTGAAACTCGCTTTAAAATATCACCCGTTATGGCTAAACTAACAATCACACAACCTGTCTTAGCTTTTTCTGACTTAACTTTTTTACTAACTTCTTTAGTAATCATCTATCATGGCTAAACTACCAATCACTCAGTCTAGGTCTGTCTAATCATCTCTCACTTAACTTGTTTTCTTCATTTCCTCTCTCTGTCTGAATGTATTTATAACCCGCGACAGAAAAATCTAGAAATATCTAGACCTCTAGTAGCAACAATATTACACATAACTAGAAAAATTTGGAAGCTTCGAAGTTAACAATATTACTAAAGCCTAGTACAACAATTAAACTGAATACATAACGTACGACTCTTACAGAGCAAGGTAACGAAATTTGTCATAACTGTTACGTCTCCGTTTGTTAATTAACTTTCCATAACTTCATTCCGACGAAACTTTAACGACACAAGTCTTTACTTAACAAAACTGGTTT